CAGACAGTAAACAGTCCTAGACCAAGGCTTCAATGCCTGAAAAGCACTTGGAAAAACAACAACACTCCCTTTTGTAGATTTTTCTTAATAGAAACTGGAAAACAAATTGAGCCTTAAGGCCCAGCCATCCTTTGTGCATGGCAGCAGTTGTGTATGATGTTACCTGTTGATAGGCACACCTGCATTAACTGTTGCCATGATTTACTCAGCCCTTCTATGTCTGAAATTGTTAGAAGAGGTAGAACTGCCAGGTGTCCTCTCTCCTCTTGGTGTTCGTGGAACACAGACAACAAGAACAGAGTTGAAGTATACCACCTTTCAACATGCCAAGGTATCCCTTTAACACCATCGGTTTGAGACTGGGCCACAGACACGAAGTGGGAAGGAGCAGGTGAAGAGTTGCTCGAGGCAGAGCCCAGCAGCACTGCTTGTACAACACAGCCCAAGCTTATCAGGGGCTGAAACGTGGCATTTCGGGCCGAGGGGTTTGACATGGCTTCAGCAGTAGCTGACTTTGGAATGTTCTTAGCGCGCTTTCAGATAATGTTAACTTTAAATAAACGTGCTGAATACTCGTGTAAATTATTTCCATTTGGCTGTCTCATTATTCAATATGCTTTCAAGGAACATGGTGATGAAAGAAGAAAAATACCTTTCTAACATAACCATACTGGCAAGAGGATCGACATTATCAGTATTCAAAGAATGTCTTGGCAGGATAAACCTTCATAAAAAGAAGGAGCACTAGCTAATCCAAGTTGTCAAAATAGCAATAGTACTTCAAGGGTTGATCAGCAAAGTGATTCATTATTTATTGCTAATGCAAACAAAACATTTGAGCAGAAACAGGAATTGACTATTCCCTGTCAGAAATTCACTGACAGAGTTACACAGTGAATAAACCCTCGGAGGACTGACAGAAGGATATCTGTTTTTCTTACGTACTAGAAAACCACCCTAAGGCAGTAAGAGCATCACTCTCAACAGAAAACAAATGGGACAATTAATGGCAATATTTTTCATTTGTACTGACACAGACACACTGTGTGCCACAGCCACAAGAGAACAAAAACAGAAATGTCATCAGAAGCATAAGGCACATGCTACTGAAAAAAAAAACAAAACAACATACACACAAAACCAATATAGTGGAGATACAGCATGCAGTCAGTGTATTGGGAACGCCAAAAATGCATAAGCACCTCAAGAGTACACTTGACTTCCCAAAATAGATTCAATCCAGAATCTGATACACAATCATTTTCAGGCACCTAACTTCAGATACATAATGAAAGGTTCTTCCTCATCACACAATATATTCTTGCTCAGTACGATGAGAGCTATGCTTTCTTCCATTCTCATTCCCTATAAAATACAGGATTTTAAGCAGGATTATCTTAAAAGGTACTGGCTTACTGCCTTCGAGACTTAATTGCAAGAGCTTTCTGAAATGCCTGTACTGTACTCCCCTTTCTACATCTTCAAACCATCTTTCCTCGTCTCCTTCTGCAGTACCTAATACCTCTGCTACCTCTTTGCTCTTTTAAGTCTTGGAACCTGATCTTACTCCTGACGTCTATCATCTTCTAATGCAGCAGAAAGCATTGGCTCAGCCTCAGGAATCTGAGATTCTAGGAACTCGTTTGAATAACTGGACATACACATTTTTTAAAACTAATATGTAACCCATGAGCTCCATGACAAACAAAGCTATTTGAAAAAGGCAATTCATTTTCCAAGCGCACATCAAACAGAAATACAACAGGCACTGCCAAAAAATAATAATTAAAAAAAAATAAATAAATCACAGGCAATCCCATTCAGTAGTGCATCCTAGCATACATACCCTATAGGACTGTTAAGGGAAAAGCACCTTCCAATTTGACTTAATAATGCTAATGACAAAAGCACTTATCTGAAGGAAAAAGAATTAAAATTCACATGCTATATAATGGCAAAACAAATGCATGTCAACCTGTTGAAAGTTATGCACCTAAATCACAGCAGTTCAAATTTCTGAAAAGGTGTGGTGCGATTGGCAGGCTTTATTTTGCAAGAAAGGACAGTAGCAGTAGGAATACAAGCATGTGTATTCAGAGGGTGTTTTTTTCCTGTTTTTGTTTGGTTTTTATACTTTTCAGACTATTTTAAAGCAGTTACATGTGTGCAGACAAAACAAAATTTCCTATATCATGTTTTGGGCCTCTGATTCTCCCAGCTCAACAACAGCTACTGAGCGACCTCTTGTGTTTAAACTCATCTGAGCAGTGAGTGTGTGTGTGTGTGTGTGTGTGTGTGTGTGTATGAATAAGTTAAACATACATAAGGGCAGCAGTGCAAAATCTCTGCCATTACAATGAACACATGCTGCCTACAGGTAGCATCTGTACTGATTCATTCTACCAAACTTGGAATTGAAGAATTTACTTCTGAAGCAAAGAGGACAGGCAGATTTCATGTATTCCCAGCAAACAGAGATTGATTTGTTTACATGATCACAACCACAGGCCCTCACAGTATACATTCTCATCACTATTCTTCCCTCCTAAACATTCTCATTTTCAGCTTGCTGTTTTCCTCTACTTCAAACTACAATTTCAACTGTTAAAAATACTTTCCACTTTCAGAATCTGAAGAAAATGTTTCTATGTGTACAGAGATAATCTGATGACAAAACATCCCTATAACGCATTTCATAACCATCACCTTCAACATAACCAAGACAGTCTGGAGGACATTGGCTGCACTCTTTCTTCGTTAGCAGCAATAGGATGGATTGGTAGAACAGAGGCACAAACATCTCTGTACGCATCAACAAGAATTTCCAAACAGCTGGGAACATATAAAATCTGTATCAACCATGCAATAGATTTGTAGTTTGTATGGGAACTGCTGATTCACGGCCTGAGCCTCTGATCACCTGAGAGCAGGATGGACAGTCATGGTGGTCAACTTGGCTATTTCTGGGCCATTCACCAAGACACTTTCTGCCCCAGAATCCCACAGTCTTAATAACCAAGTTAATTACCAAGTTCACGCTCCAGTTTTTCAATGCGATCTTTCAATTGCTGATTTTCAGTCTCTAAAGTATTATTTCTTATATCCGCATGATTTAAGGCACTCAGTAGTGGCCATGCCACCGTGGAGGCAGCTAGTTGTCTTTCTTTAGTGATGAGCACATCCTTGCCAAGTCCTTGAAAGTAGTCTGCCATGTGATATGGGGAGATATTGCCCATAACACGTAAGAGACAACACTTTTCAATGATAACTGCTAACTCACAATAGGAGGATCCCTCAAATCCTGGGATCTGCCCTGGAATCATTTTCTCTAGAGGAGTATTGTTCTCCCCCTTGATCCATTTATAGAAATTACGAAGAAAAGACATGATGTAAACTTTAGCATATTTGGCCTGCCTGATTCGCCAAGTATGTAATCAATGGATATTAAGATGCCATAATCACAAGAGAGTTAGGCAAAGTAGACTAGGAAAATAAGGAGAATAAATGGAAAGCTTACCTACAGAAAGCACCAGAGGAAGGGATCTCCAGGAGAGATCCTTCCCCACTGTAGCCAGCTCTTAAATAGGTCTAGGAGGGATGCAGCCAGGCTCCACCCCTTCCGGCAGCACAGCTGAATTGCCTTCACCTGTGCTCCTCTGGCTGACTCCCAGCTCACCTCAGGTGATCAATCAGAGGTTCAGGCCGTGACTCAGCAGTTCCCATACAAGTTCAAGAAAGTCAACTGAGTAACCACATTCTACAATAAAAAAGATGTTTCCGCAACACAGCATGTCAAACTTCAGATGTGTGATAGAAGATAAACTGTAGTCAAACACGGAAAAAAGAGGTTGATGTATTGTACTAAGACCTTGCAGCAATCAATAACAGTAAACAAAAGCCTCAGCTTAACCAGAGAAAAATTTCACCACACCCATCAAAGAGGGAAAAACCACACCACCAATTACATACAAAATTAGTTTTTTTTAACCAATACTTAACACCAACTTTGTGAAGCATTGCTAGATAAGTCAGAGTGCTTAACGAAACCTAAGAAGCACAAAACCTTGCAGTCTGTGGTTTCAAACTTCCTGTAGTCTCAATGCAATAAGACTAAAAGTAGTCACTGAGCTTTGGAATACAAATTCAGTAGCTGCAAAGCTGGCTTTTTGTTTTTTTTTTTTTTTTTCTTCACAATATCTACATTTAGAGATATGTAGAAGTACATATATATACATGCCATCAGAGCATGTTAGACAACTCCAGGCACAAGCAGACAACCTGTTGTCTTTTTAAGAAAGCACGGCGGCACTCATCATTTCCACTGAGAGGGAACTCAACTGTGAGTGTTTGGTAGTAAAGAGAAGCTGCTTCAAACGGATTAATAGATATGGAAAATAAGAGGGTCAAAAACAAAAGTGGTCTGAAGAGGGAAAGAATTGCTGAGGGGTCTGGCCAGGAGATGTCACTCTCTACTTTGTAGCAACTTGAGAATTCATTAGCCTAACTTTCCTCCCATGTCTCAAAAGTAGGAGCGCAGCCAATAAAATGAGCTACGTGCAATTAAGGGCCAGGTACAGGAGATCACCCAACATGTCATTTCTGTAGCTTATGTTTCAATGACTGTTCAGTCACCCATGAAGCCAAAGCAGTCCCCAAGAAGCCTCCAAATTTGATCTCCCCCTCAAAAGCAAACAACTGGCTCAATTAGCTTAAACTACTAGTGTAAGAGACAACATTTATACTTCATACATTTATCCATAGTATCTGCTGGAGCAGACCAAGGGGCAGATCTGAGCCTGAGTCTTAGAAATTTTTAAGATAAAAATCTGTAACCATCCTGAAACACACAAATACAGAACGAAGAAAGAAGCAAAAGTCCCAAACTAATCTATGATGAAAGACAATTCCTAGGGTTGAAGTATTTTACGTATTATATTAATTGCACAAATTCATCAGAAAAAGATCCTTAACACAGCTGACAGAGAAATAACAATTATTACCTTATTATGTACAAAGGTTATTCTCAGTTCTGGCTTTATGATGCCATATGCTATCAGGAGGTCCTGGACTTTTTTCAGTTCTTCCTTACATTTTTTATTTGTTGAGTAAAACTGTTTTCTCACAGGAAGATTCTTAAACAGCTTGAGGACTGTTACCGTTGTACCTACAGCAGGTGACGAAAAACAAGCAGACATTATACTGAAAGCATATCACCATCTGGATAGCAAGGAAACTTCGTGTATTCTTGAAGAGCCCTGTCTGTGTACCACTGCATGCAAATAAAACCTAGCTACACCAAATCAGATCACTAGATGAAATTAGCTTAAGGAAAAGAAATATCAATTAGCAGTCACCTCATGAAAGTAAGTACCAACGTAAGCTTGGATTCCCCTCCTTTGTCTAGAGTTATGATTGCAGCTATAAGCATTCATTTGTACACGCTGAGAGTACTTAGAATCGGCCATTAATTAAAGCCAAAGACTCTTTGAGTGCATGTTAAGTTAACAGCTTTATTAGTGAAAGTTAACAAACTCAGAAACCAATTAGACACATCTAGAAGCAAAGGAACGTTGAGCTCCATTAAGGTCTTTAGCTGGCATTCCCATTAAGGTATGCCTGAAAAGCCAGGTACCTCTGTTCAAGGCATATACATGGTGAGAAGAAGGGTATTAATTTACCAGTATGATCCTGCAAATTCTTACCCTACAAAGATATTGCCAAGTACTGAAGAGATGCCATGGAATTCATTTTTCAATACCAATCATTAAACAATCTTGACAGAACACAAAGCCATGCAATTCACAGGCTCCATAAGGGGCTCTCTAGCTGTGGAAAACACTACAGCCTGAATCTTAAAAAGATTCTCTCGTTAAAATTAACTGTCTACATTGTAGAGTTTTCAGATTCAGCTCCTTCTACAAGAGTTGCTCATTAACTAGCCCTAGGCAGCTTTTTCTGAGTAAAGAGCTCCCTGCTGCCAGTCAGCTGACCAAGAGCCAGGTCTGGCAGGCAGGCTTTGCTCTGCATTTACAAGGCACTGCACCCATCACGGGACAGAATACTGACAAGGAGCTTCCGAGGCTCAACCAGAATGTGCTAAGGATGGTAACAGATGTATTGTTAGATAGAGGAGAGCAGCAACTGCTTTCTCATAGGTCCACCTTAATCACAAGAAAGGAGCAATGACCTCTTCTTTGAACACAGGTCTGTTAAGAGTGTGAAAGCAAGGATACAGCCTGGCCTTACGGGGCAACAAACAGCTGACCAGACTACAAAGAAAGACCAGTGCAACCCCAAACCCACACCACGTCTGAACACTAAGGCCACTTGTGAGGTGACAGCAACCTTGATCTTTCGCGCACACGAATTTCTGGAGACACGACTTTACTGGGTTGGCCATGCTGCTCCCAGGTACTCCCTCACAGAGGAGTAGGGCAACTCTCTCCCTCCAGAATTTTTACAGCTTTTTTATTTTCACTCTGTTGGCTTGAAGAAGAAAGTCAGATAAGGCAAAACTAGTTTAAAATTACTATCTAAGGCAACTTCTGAGATGTTATTTCTCATGCTAACAACACATTCTTGGCTGACAGACATAAGCAAGAGATGTTCACAGCTGCCAAGATCTCATACACAGCCTCTAAATACAGAACAGATATTTTGACATCAAACAGAGCCCCAAAGAAACAAAATCCTTGTCACAACACAATGTAGAACACAATATCCTACCTTGGCCAAGATGGGAAGGCTTTTGAGAAGTTACATGCCCATTACTATCCAAAACATACTGAGTGCTGATATCATCATCAGCTGTCTTTGTTGTGACCAAAACCTGTGAACAATAATAATAAAATCATGTTAATGAGGGATTCAGAAAGATCAGAATGAGCTTAGATAAGCTTTGCTATCACTCTTAACAGCATATTATTTCAGCCACCACAACTACATGTAATTAGTTTATAAAATTCTTCTCCTTCAGGTGTTTCTTAGTCACAGAAAACATTCTGCATTATCACTCATTTTCCCACTCACTTAGTCAAAAGCTACACATTTCCATCACAATGCTACACAGTATAAGCTGCTCCTAATACCTACAACACATACTTCTTTGTCTTCTACTCTAAACACAGCTTCAACAAACAACTAAGTCAACTGATAATTTTGCATCTTCAGCCTTCAAGAGACGACATAATGTGACAGCTTCTTAAATTCAGGTGAGGTTACACAAACGTAAGTGCTATCAAAGAGCGTATTAATCTTCCACACCCAGTGTATCTGGCTATCGTGAAGCCCTATGTTTTGTAAACTGCTAAGGTAAGACACAGATCATCTTTAGTAAGACCAGTTACAGTCCAGTAGTTCAACAAAGTTCCAGCTTTGTGAGTTCAGCTATCAATACTTTGAACAAAGCGCCGCTATGCTTTAAGCACCCGGGAGACATAAAGGCTGTAACTCAAAGAGAGCTTCAGGATGTTTGGGTTTATTTCAGTTTCCTCATATGAATCACTCTGAATTCAGCCATGCCTCTGGAGAGAAAAACAGTAATTGATTACTTGGAAACAACAATATTACAGGTCTAGTTACAGGCTGGTAGTAATGTACCTCTTAACTGAAACTTCAGGGGGCAGTTTGGGCAGGCAGAATGCAATTAACGCCAGGAGCGTTTCATTAACATAATTACTGATCCCCACATTAACGAAATACCTACTATAGTACTTCATAGACCGGTCAGACCTACTCCTGTATCTTATGAAATGCAACACAGGCTGATTAAATGCTCAGTACAGATGGCATCCTGCCCTGATAACTCGTCAGGACCACTGAGATCTATCATCATCTGCCAGCACACCACCACTTCTGAAAGCCTCTTTGGAAACCTCCATCCAAACACACAACCCACTCCCGCTTAGTGCAACGTGAATGTAGCCCAAGGTAGCAAGGAGGCTGACTCTCTCACCCTCTGACACCTCTCCTGACCTCCAGAGCTGACAGTTCCCATCAGACAGTGATCTCAGTATTTTCCTGCAGTATCTGATCCTTGGGAGACAAGTGCAAACTTGACCTTGTCTCGGTACAAAGACAGAAAGGCAGAGAACCATGGAACAGGTAGATGCTGCGTGTTCACATCTCTCAGATGGTTTTGAACCAGCTTCCTTTTAGTCTACAAGTTAAATCTTAAATATCAGTACACTGTCAATGCCAGCCCTGTTAACACAGATATATGGATCAGACTCAGGTAGGCCAGGGAGCAGGTTCCTGTTTACTCGTAAAGACAACTGTTTGTGCAACTGCAGTCACATGCATGTCAAGGAACAATATGGACTGCAACAAGATCCCATGACTGTTGATCACTTAGATAACATCAAGGCTGAAATCCTTACTAGAACTGCAGCTATGTGGGCCATCAGCGTCCTGAAGTGAAATCTCCTGGCCACCATCTGCTGCTTCTTATTCTGAGTTAGCTCAGTTCAAGTAGCAAACTCAGCCAAGCTGTTAGACATCATAACACTAAGGGGGAGGCAAAGCATCATTCCAAGGAATCACATATCTATACGCTGATATGACAGAAAAAGACAGGAAACACTGAGCAAACTGTCTCTGATGAATTCTTGCTGAGGAAAACAAACGCAGCACTAGTATAACCAGTATGACAGTATGCAGGACACTAACAAGAAATCTATATTGCTTCCTAACCCTTATGATATGACTTAGGGGTGGGGAAAGACAGCACACACAAACCAGACTGTTTCAAAAACAAGTTCCCAGTGGCTGCCAGAACAGTTTAAAGACCTTGCAGTGATATTTATTAAAACTTTCACAGACGCAGGCAAATCACAGCACAGCAGTCCAGTCACTCACCTCTGATACGCAACAAATGGATCCCAGCGCTTCCCCGCGGAAACCATATGTTGTCAACCTTTCAAGATCTTCAGAAGAGTTTATTTTTGAGGTGTAGTGTTTAACTGCCATAACAGGAACATCAGCAACCTTGATGCCATTGCCATTGTCTCTTACTTCTATTTTGTCAAACCCATAATTCTCCTAATATAAAAAAAAAACAACAGTAACGCATTGCTAAAGTAATGCATTAAGGCACAAACAAAGCAACTGCAAGCAGTGCTTCTCTTTCAGTATTTCAGTATACGTGATTACTTGTCATTTGAATAAACATCTGCATAAGCAGATAAAACTCCAACAACCCAGGCAATTAGGAGATCAGATAAAGATGAACTTCAGATTCTCCAACATCTCAAACTCAGACACAGCAAACAAATGCTTCCTTCCAGCAACACTACAACCCGCACATAGAAATGACATCCAAAGAAGAAAAAAAATCACAAGCAGGAGGAGAAAGTGAGCAGAACTGCAGGATCACTAAGCCAACTTCTTTCCCAGAAGCCACGTGTGGCTCTTTGAAAAGATTATGATCTACCATCCAGAAAAGCGTGCTGTAGCGTGTGGTACGTTGTGGCAATCATACAACTGGTTTGCTTTCAAAAAATGTCTCAACTGGGGGGTTCCCATGTTTCCATAGCCCACTGATGCTGCGCAGAGCACATGGGCCATCTCAAAGGATGACTGATTAAACAAACTCGCCATGTTGCTCCACCTGGACACAGCCTGGAGGCAGTTGAGGAAAACGTAACGTACTTACAGGTTACTTCTCAAAGAAAAATGAATGCAGTGCAAAACAAACTACAGAGAATACGTGTATGCGCACACAGTCTGTGCTACGAGACATCAAAAGCTTCTGAGGTAGGCTCAGAACTATAACATTTAAATGATATGTACTACAAATGTGGAGATGTTTTCCATTCCATGTTAATCAATGGTGCTATGTTCAGATTATGTTCAGATTGAAAAACAATGTTTTTGCTAATATTTGAACCAAGCTCCTGCTGGAAAACAACATGGAAACCAAAATATACCCAAACTGGGCATAAAATCATGTCAAGACACAGAAAATCTCCTACTCTGCTGCAGTATGCTACAGTTTCTGCATTTTACTACAGATGACTCTGTTCCATTTTAACTTTTACAACCATGCCATTTGCCTGCTTCGGAAAAAAGAGTGAGCAGATCTATCTTCTTGAACTTGAATCAAAATGTTACTGAACAAATTCCCATTTCAATCCCAATATTATTCACTTATACTCAGGCACATTTTCTTTAAATATTACAGTGTTAAAACTTTGTATTCTGTAACACCACTCTCTTATGCTAAATGGCCTAAATACCACGTGATGCTGTAAGATCTTTAAGTTACTCTAAGAGATCACTGCTGCCAAGACATGCAACTCCCTGTTCTTTTAATCACAGCTTCATGGTCCCATCTCTGCTACCCATTAGAAATCATGGAATCACGCAACAGTAAAATCATTTGAGTTGGAAGGGACCTTTCAAGGTCATCTGGTCCAAGTCCCCTGCAATGAAAAGGGACATTTACACTAGATTGGGTTGCTCAGAGACTGGTCCAGCCTGTCCTTGAATTCCTTCAGGGATGGGGCATCCACCACCTCTCTGGGCAGCCTGCTCCAGTGCTCCACCACAACTCTTTGCAAATCAATTCAGATCAATTCAGCTTGTTAAAATGGCACAAACAATCCACTTTTCTCACTGGTCTTCAGCATTAGCAAGATGAACAGATCACGAAAGGCAGAAAGGCCTAGCATTGCCAAGCATGTCATTTTAGGTCTTCACTTTTCAGGCAGCCAGATGGATCAGCTGTTGAGTGAAACTTTTCATCCTGAGCTAAACTTCCTCTGAGAGGGGTGTAAGAATTAAAGCTTCCACTTTCTGCACTGGGAAAGAGAAGCAGAAATAACTGTCTGCCTTTTACAACAGCCACTTCATGTAACATTAACAAACCTGTAGCTGAGATCCCTACTTCCTAATTCTGCTCTAAATGACAACAAAGGCTGTTGCTCATCTACTCTATTAAATTAGAACATGCAGGTATAAATCAGACTTCAAAGATTATTCTCATGAATTCCTGTTGTCAGAGCTCAGTCGGGGAAACTGATAAGACTGATGCCTGTGCAGTCTCTGCACTCCTAGTAAAGAGGAGCAGGTTCCAGCATACTTCCACCCAAACCCAGGACATCTCATCAAGAATAAAAGTATGATTCCATATGCTTACTGCACAGTCATGCTACTGAGGTAGCTGACCCAGCTGCTAACAAAGCAGGTTCCAGGGTGTTTGTCTTTCTAATAGCAACGCAGTGGAGGTTCAAATTAACAAATAGATATCACGTAATGCCCTGGCCACAGTTCAATTTTTAATCAAATGACTGGGTTTATATTGTAATGGAAGCAATATCACATTATCTAAAGCTATACTACAAGCTCACATGTTTCTCTGTCTTGTGTAAAAGCTGGCTGACACATCAGGCAAAGACACTAAATAACGTCACCCATCGGAGTTTGGTTAATCAAGTTAGCAAGGATACAAACCTGTCCAGACTTCAACCTATACCTTGCCACTACAATGGCTTCTGAGGAATACCTCACCTGCAGGTCAACTCCTGTATGCCCATCTCCTGACTTATTAGGGAACTGATTTTGGACTATTTTTGTTTGAGGTTAAAACAGATACTTATAAAGAACACTAAGTTCTCTCACACCACAGCAATGTGGTGAAAAATACACTGGCAGAGGAACAACTTTCCCAGCCCCACCTTTCATACACGAGTGTACAAGAAGGAGAGGGGCCTTACCAGTCTAATGTCAATAGTTGTGGCACAGGCATCCAAGGAGTTTTCTATCAGCTCCTTCACCACGTTGACAACTGATGTAATCACTTGAGAACTCGAAAGCAGACGAACAGTTTCTGCTGACAGCTGCTTCATAGTGGAATTAGAGAAGCTGCATAGAAAGATACAAGAAATGGAATGGAAAAGACACATTACAAATACACACTTCTAAATATGTGAAACATAACATTAAGGCTGAAGGGTAACGTTGTAAACACTCATTTGGACAGTGCTTCCTCTGCAGCCAATGGCAGTTTGACTTGTAGAAGGAACAGTATACCAAAGTCCAGAACAGAAAATACTTTCTGAAGCAGACTAAACTTCTACCCTCCAAAAAGTTCAAGAATTCAGAGATACACTGAGCAAAACAGCAAAACAATATAACCCCACATTTACCAAGCCATTCCTCTAAACTACTATGACAAGTGGTTATGCTCTTGTGATTATAACAGAAAAGACACTGTGTGGTAACCCACAGTACTAATCAGAAACATCTTCAGGCAGTGTATCTATCTGTACCATGTCTAATTCTAGCACTGATGACAAAATCTAAGGATTTTGAATCTTCACTATTTTTTTCCCAAACTCCTGGCGTTATTTTTTCCCTGCTTTTGAAATTTCTGAGCTCAGCTCTGCTGTGTTCTGCATACAGTTCCCAGCAGCCAAAAATTCAAGAAACATGACCTCTTTCTGTGGGGCTGGGGAAGAAGGTGGGGACAGCACAGTGAGAAAAAGATGCGTTAGCTGGCATTGTGACCTCTTGGCAATGAGGAGAAAAAGCCAAATCTTCCACATTGTAACCTTACCTTTCTTACCAGACTTACTGCATGCCCTCAGGCAGGTCATTTTATTCCTGTGTATTCCACATGAAAATAACGATGCCCCATATTATAATAAGACAATAGAGATGCTCTTCTCAATGGAAACACTTACAAAGGGCCACAAAATTCCAGCTGTGTTATACACAATAATACTGCCATGAAGATGGTAAGTGGATCTGCAAATTTTTGCAGGTATTAAACATTAAGTACGTACATAGGCCTAACTAACCAATCTCCAACTGAAGTCTTCAGTGATCCTCCTGGCATGACACAAAGAACTCAACCACAGTTTTTCACACATATGAGAAAGGTGGCAGAAAGAGCATGACCAGCTCTTTGCATCTCAAGAACGGTTTGAGCACTATAGCACCCTGACCTTCAAGGAATACCTCCCTTTTGTATCCAACAGCTCCCTAGTGTGAGACATGGAAGGCCAATATTTGTTCTGAAAGGCAAACAAAGCCCACAGCATGGGGCTCCTGTTGCATCCGTTCAAGCAACCTAGTGGAGGACAGTCTGACTGGTCCTCTGACTGCACAACCAGCATCCAGCCTGAGGCTATGAGCACGTGGGGAGGAATGGAGCAGACCCAGCCAGGATAGCAGGAAGGTGTGCAGGCAGGGCACTGCAGCCAGCCCCCAGAGCAGGACTATCCTGCAGGGTCTGTGTCGCTGGCACAGCAAGCACACAGCACTTCTCTGCCTGGAGAGCCTTCTCAGAAGCACAACTTGACATAAAGGGCCAAGCACATACACGGCTACTTGGGCAAAACAAATTAACTCAACCTACAGTGTTTGAAGAGGAAGCAGAACGAGCGCTTTTCTGAGAACAGCTGCAGAATTTTTCTTTTTATACATAGTACTTACATTCCAAAGAGAATTTGCCCTTCAGATGTGGCAAAATGATCTGACAAATCAGTTTTCCACCAAACAGTCAAAGAGAAGGAACACAGGATGAGATGTGTTGCTGAATACAGGCCAGCGTTAATCACTCACACAACTTCTGCACACATCCACATGTCACAAAGGACTCCTGCGCAAAATGTTTGATGATTTATTGACAAGAGCCAGCCTGGAGTCGGGTATCTCCGTGAAAAGATGCTGACAAAGGGGAGGGAGGAGCTGAAAACAACAACACCGCAGATCACAGAGCCAAACGCTCTATGAGCTGTTCGCGATGCAGGGCTTAGAGGGAGGAAGCGGCTCTGAGCCCGTTCCCGGTCCCAAACCTCGCCGTCAGCGGGCGTGAGTAGCGCACATCCACGCCCGCTGCCTCTCGGGTACCACTTCTGGGGCTCGCCGTGTCGGAAACAGGAAAATAAACATAGAAACACGCACGTGCGAGCTCGGAACGCCCGCAGCATGAGGGCACGATGGGGTGACGAATCTCCAGGTTTGTCCGGCTGCAGGCTGCGTTCCGACAGGCAGAGCTCACTACGCTCGTGCTCATTTTCAGCCGCCCGTGTTAGAAGAGAGGCAAACCCCCACCGCATCCCCAGCCCGCGCCCTGCCCCACACAGAGGCCCTTCCCGCCCGCACCGCGCTCCGCCCCGCGGCTGCAGGCCCGGGCCTAGGCCCAGCGGCAAGGGAGGCGGCAGCGCCCGCGCTCCGAGAAGCGCCCTTCTCTTCTTCCTTCTTCTCTTCCTCCTCCGCCTTCCCCCATCCCCGGCCCACAGCCCACCCGGCCCCACCGCGCCCCTCCCGGCCCCACAGCCCCCCGTACCTGCGCGTCCCGCTGCCCCGTGGGCGGCGCGGCCCGGCCCGGCCCCTCCCCGCGCGGAGCCCTGCCCACGGGGCGGCCGCCCGGCACTACCTGCTGCCGCGCTTCTCATCCTCGGCGGCCGCGGTCGGAGGACGGGCGGCGGAGTTCCCGCAGCGCCGGAAAGGTGGGGAGGCGCCCAGGACGGGCGGGATGGACGCGGGCCGTCGGCTGCGCGCGGCCGGTGGCGGCGGGCGGGAGCCGGGGCCGTTCTTCTGCGCTCGCGGGGGCGGCGGGGCGGCGAGCCGGGGCCGTCCGTGTCGCGGTGCTCCCGACCGACAGATCGGAGGTCGGGTTTTGGCTGTGCGCTGTCGGCGTGTGAGAGCGGGACGCCAGGTTTGCTGCGGGCCTTCGTCCAGAGAGCCCGACTTGCGGGACGTGGAACGACAGAACGGCTGGGTTGGAAGGGAGCTCGCAGCCCGACCGGCCCCAGGCTTTGGGCACCCCCACGGACCGGGCACCGCAGCAAGCCGGGCTGTTCTGTCACGCTGTGTCTAAAAGTCCGCGGTGAGGTGAGAGGACAGGCTGTGAGATGCTTTCTGCTCGTGCCCCGTTTGGCACGGCCGCGTCGCCTCACGCCTTCTCACCTTTCTGCCGATTCCACGCACATCACGTAGCAGCACGCGCTTCCTACCCTGCGGCTGGAGCCTGCTGCCCTGCAAAGCAGCTGTGCTGTGGCAGTCCTGGGTGCGCAGGTGTGTTTGGACGCACAGATATGTTTGTAGGGGCCTGGAATGAGACCGTCTGGTGGAAGTAGAGAAGTTGGTTCCAATTTCTTAAGCCAAAATGCAGCTGCGTTTCTGGCAATAGGAAAGAAAACACGGGAATGCAGTAGATGAAGAACATGTCCAGCTGATTAACTGAGAGATGCTGAGGAAAAAATAGGTTCATCGTATCAAAATACAATACTGACTAACTATGAAATGCTTTGCAACAAAGGGAGATTATAATTGGCATCGCCACAGTTCAATTTCAGGCTCCTCTCATCTGTTTTCATGTTACCAACTACTGTTAATACATGTTTTACACACATAATACACACATCATAGTGCATTAATCTGTGGTGTTACAGATATGACGGTGCTCTGCAATACTGAATAAATACTAGAAACAAACTTACTTAACAAAAAAATAAGCCAATTATTTTTGCTAGTTAATGTTCCTGTCAACTGATTCAGAAGGCAGTTAACAATTCTCCATCCCAGTCTGTAAATGTTTACAAATAGTCATGAAATGACTATTTATGTTGAAATGACTATTTATGTTTCATGAAATGAAGCAAACTTTTTTTCTAGTACTTAATACAAATTGTAGTTCACCAGGCTGATCTCCTAAAGAAAACTGTGGTTAGAAATTGCCTTGTGTGTGTTTGCGTACGTCTGTCAAGTAGAAACCTTCTGAGCCTTTGGCTATCATCAGATAAAAACAGCAGGGTAAGAGTTCCAAAACCTGCAGGGGATGGAAATCTGAGATCTGATCTCATGCTACGAAAAAAGTAGGAATAAATTCAGTCTTCCTAGCAACAGGTTGCCAGGCAGGCAGTATATGCAAAATTCCCAAATAGCCTTAACGTGAATGAGGTGAGGGAAAACTGTTTGATGAGAACTGGGAAAGAACAGTTGACATTAGTGGCAGAAGAAAGGAACTGAAGGGATAAAAGTTACAAAGATTGGTGTCCTTGCTGGTTTACACTTTGCCCTTGTGACAGCACAGTTCACTAATCCCACATCATCCCTGTTGTGGCAGACCTGGTGGTGTTTGTATTTGCTTGGTTGTTTCTTTGTGAACAAACAGCCCCAACAGCCCTTTTGTCTTGATTTCTTTATAAGTCGCACTTGAAGCTCTTGAGGTATGCCTTAGCTTGTGTGCAGCGTTCATTCCAGACCTACTTCTTTAAACCAGCCTCTTTCCTAGTTTGGAGCTGCGTGTATTAGATACCTCTACAATACAGTAGCCTCACTTTAGGAACAGTTCTGTTCTGTAGGATAAAAATGAATGTCGGAGTTGCCCACAGCGAGGTGAATCCAAACACGCGGGTGATGAGCAGCCGTGGGATGTGGCTGACGTACACGCTTGGAATCGGCCTGCTTCACATCGTCCTGCTCAGCATTCCTTTCTTTAGTGTCCCTGTCGCGTGGACTTTAACAAATGTGATTCACAACCTGGTGAGTACCCGCTCTTGTTGAAAGAGTTGTTCACAAATGCTTAATTTTAAAAGCAGGCGAAAAGAGGAATAGCTGGGCTGTGTGGATACTGAAACCAAAAACACCTGTATGTGGCTTAGCCGCTGTTGAATGGGTTGGCTCACTTGGGGAGGAGGAGTGATCGCTTTGGATTTAAACATGAGGGCTTTGAGATATTTCTTATTCATTAATCCACTGAATGTAATATGTAAAAAGAGTATTATCTATTAATGTTTCTGTATAAACCTGTTTGTATCTCAACATGTTTGATTTCAGTGCTTTAGATGATACTTTTCCTTAGACAAAAGCATTTGTGTTTTTTTTCTTGCTTTGATTTCTAGTCAAACCAGACAAATTTTAGCTGACTGACTTCAGCGCAGAACTCTGTCCTATGCACGACATGGAAAAAAACCATAACACTGTATTTGGGAAGATCTTGATCACACTGGGTCAAGCCCTGAAACCATTTCTTATTTAGTGGGTTGTGATATGAATTATGACTTTAGCTTCCAGAGGCTTTTGCTTACAGAAGATCTTGAAAATCTCTCTCTCTCTTCTCCCCATGGTGCTATTCATGTAGGTTGCTATAATGACAGCAGGGATGATAGCATGCACTTGCCAAGTTGTTTTCTAGGGGAATGCAGAAGATGGATTTAAACTGTACTTTGGGAACTGAAGCATTTAAATGGCACTTTTTGTTTAAAATTATATATTTATCTTTGAATGTAGAAAACTTTTAGCTGACATTAAAAGCAATTTTAGGGTTTAGGTTGGGTTCTTTCTGCACGTATCAGTGCAAAATGAAATGTGGAGTAAGCATTTGGATGTCCTGAAAGTGCCTTTGTTGTTATTAAAATTGAGGTGCTGGAAAAAGCATGAATCAGATAATTAATTAAGCAAAATAATTCTCCAGTAGACCTCCAGGCAAGAGGCTGTTTCAAAAACAGATGCTTGGTCAGCTTTCACCTCCTTCATAAGACTTCAGAAAAGCGAGATTTTGTTTCTGGATAAAGCTTTCCATCTCTGTGCATGAGAAGTGAATGCACCTGGAAGAATGCTGAACTCTTTGATATTTTCTGGTAGAGACTCTTGCTTGGAGTTGGCAGATAAAAGACAAATGATTGTTAAAATTGGAAGCTTTGCTCATTTGTTGAAACTGGGCTCTCCTATCTGGAATTGACAGCTGCTACTTCATCTTTCAGAACAGCCTAGCCATGGCATCTTTCCATCAGACAGTAACAAAGAAACCAACACGGTTAAGGAGAGGGACAGATGCTATTCCGTAGGTTGCTGGTATTCAGCTTCCAAGCATCTGAAGCTAGTGGGAAGTTGAGGAAGCTTTTGGAAGTTCTTGTAATATTGCCAGTATTCACCAGCTGTAGATTTCTACTTTGTGCAAACTCTGCCTCATAACTCAATTTCATACTGTGCTAGGAAAGCAGTAACATAAATCATCAGCCCAGAACTTGCTACAGTGCTTGTGTAAATTCTGTTGGCTTCATGTGATCTTTGCCATCTAATGTAGACGAGGAAGCATTGCGTTGTGCCTCATGGAGACTTTGGCTTTAATGCCAAATGTGCCACTGACTGTAACTTCAAGCAAAGCACTTCTTGGCTCTTCTTTGCTCTCCTATAATTTGTTATTTCAGGTTAGCAGCTCTTTTAGATAATTCATTTACTCTTTTTTCTTTGTTTTGTTTGTTTGTCTGTTTTGCAATGCATTGAACAATGTAGCAATTACATAACAGCTAAAGGTACCAGTGTATTCATTTATTTTCCTCCAGGGAACGTATGTCTTCTTGCATGCAGTAAAGGGGACTCCTTTTGAAACACCTGATCAGGGGAAAGCGAGGCTCCTGACACACTGGGAACAACTGGATTATGGAGTACAATTTACATCTTCAAGAAAATTCTTCACAATCTCTCCTATAATTCTGTGAGTTCTAAACTATATCATGAATGAAGTGAGTCACAAAATCATGGCTTAAAAGCCTCCATTAAATGAGTTGCAATTTACTTTTCTTTTTTTTTGCTTGTATCTAGGAGTACTTATTTACAGGCCGCATAGTCAACAATCTTCCTGCAGTTTTCAACACTAATTCAAAGTACTGGAGTTGAAGTTTGTAAATAGTTGTTAATGGAATGGGTTTTAAATATTAGAAACCTTGTGAGAAAACCTATCAACTCGTGAAGTTCTTTAGAAGAAGACGGTGAAGTCGTAAATATTGAAAAGCTAAGCTAATTGTCTGTTAGTGCATGTCCATTACTTTGCAGTAATTGCTAACCGTTCTGTAACTTGTCATTTGCGAGGAATGCGGCAGTCCTCACCGAAGGGGATCCAGGCTATTACAGATTGCCTTCTGTTTACACTAGTTATGTAAATAGACTGATTGGAAATTCTGCACCACCTGTTTCTGTTGACAAAAGTATGGTTGTGTAACAGAAAGAAATCTGATACGTATTTAATATCCAGTTCTAAAAAATCGTTCTGTTTTTCCTAAAAGGAAGTTGTCTGCTTGCTTGGCAGGGCTGAGGGGTGAGAGGGAAGACACAGTATTCTGCATAGGAAGTTGTCTTACATCGGAAAGAAATGGGAATAAAAACGTGTAACTGCTCAAAAAAAAATCCTCTTTCTTCAAAGATAGTTTCCTGCAGGAATGCTGTATTACACAGCACTTGCACACAACTCTTCACACACCTAAGAAGCTGAATAAATGTTCCCTGTTTGCTGTAGGGAAAACAACACACTGCTGTGACATTTCTGTAGAGTTGTTTCTTAGCACTTTGAGGAGTGTTGGAAGAAGATACTTAGTCTACAATACTGTTGTATAACATCCTAGAACCTAAGATGAGGTATTTAATACAAGAACACATCCATGGTTAACGGGTAGAATAAAGCTGATCACTGTAGCATCTTTTTCCAGCCATGTTTTGTTGGTGTGTTTGTGGATAAGGCTGTCAGCAATTAAGCTTGCTCTCTTTTCTCCTGCAGGTACTTCCTGGCTAGTTTCTACACAAAGTATGATCCGACACACTTTATCTTCAACACCACCTCTCTTCTGACAGTGCTTATCCCCAAGCTGCCACAATTGCACGGTGTTCGAATCTTTGGCATCAATAAATACTAGACAGAAGGTGTGATGCTGACTGATCCTGACACAGACTCCGCTTCTTGGGCAAAGGAAACGAATAATCTGCTGTTATCTAATTGTATTCAATGAGAGATGCATTTACATCTGAGATACAATTACTGCTTCCTTGCAGCACTGTCTGGGGCGAAAGTTGAGTTTCTAAGATGCCTTCAAATACCGAAATGTGGATAGGAAACTTATAGATGGGAGATTTCCTGAAGTTGAAGGCAGGCCCAGCTCTACGGTGTGATCAGCACTACAAATAGATGTAGGTCTGGCTGAGGCAGGTAAGGGAGGTGTGAATAACTGCTGAAATGGGGAGCGATGTTTCACCAGCGCCAGGCAGCCGTGACGCAAATGGCAACTTACTGTATAAATCCAGCAGCCTCCATTCAAAGGACCGGCAACACTTTGTAGATAGGTGAAAGTAGCTGGTTCCTGCTCTGTGGATTGTGAACGGGTGTGTTTGTTACTGCATTATGCAAGACTGTCTCAGTAAATACCGTGACAGTTGGTAAAAAGGGATGGTATGATTCATGCCTTATCTGTCCTTGTCGTTTTTGTCATAGAGACTGGAGAAAGTCCATAACTGTCGGCTCAGGGATTGCTACGTGCACTCGATAGCTCAGTTTAGGTATGCTTTTGCAAGCTGCCACTGTTGTGTTTATTTCAGTTTGCTAACAGAACATTGACTTTTCTATCTGTAATTGGGACTTGCTGAGCCCTGCACCAAGGAGAAGCAGCTACACCATAGAACAAGTGAGAGGAATAAGAGAAATTCTGCACAGATAATAGGTCAGAACAGAAGCGGTGCTAGCAGCAGGTGGAGAGACAGATGTCACGGCCGGACCGCGTACAGTTTGCAGAAGAAAACAGGAAGGACTTGCGCGGAGACGTGCGGGAACGGCAGCGGTGCGTGACCCACGTGAGCTGCCCTGGCGGCGGACGGGAGGAGGTGCAGAGCTCCTGTGCCTGCCTGCCTGCCCCACGGCTGCCGGGCACGGGCAGCTCGGAGCTGGCGGAAGGCTCGCTTTGTCTGCTGGTTGCTGGGAGGGGAGAGAAGGAAAAGTGTTTGTTTTCCTGCCGGGATAATTTACCAACGTGTGATGAAGATGCTGTTCAAAAAGCGCGACTTTTCTGATTTATTGGAAGTAAATAACTCCTTCTTTGTGCAATGAAGCCTGAGCTGGCTCCTTCTTACTGACATCCCTTACACGGTTTACCTCAGCGCTCAACAGCGTTTGTGTAAAACACCCCCCGTTGCACGGGTGGCGGTGACGCGGGTGGCGGAGGGGAGCCGTGCTGCCGGCAGGGGGCGCGCTACCTTCCGGCACAAAGATGGCGGCGCCGCCACGGAACCGCGCAGCGTCACTTCCGGGATCCGCCCCGCCCCGTGATGGCGGCCGGGGACGGCGGGAAGGCTGCGGTTCCGGCTGCCAAATTGCCCCGGGCTGAGTCCTCCCACGTTGTAGCTGTTAGTGCGCCGTGCACAGTTTGTAGGCTCTTAAAAACAGGCTGTGGGCAGCGAAATAGCACGAGGAACACTCGAAGGTAAAGCTCATCGCAGGCAGGAATCGGGCTACGGGGGCAGCGACGCGAGGCTGCTCGGATCGCGGTGCGAAGCGTTCCCTTCCTCGGGGCTGCGGTAGGCGGGGCAGATCGCGAAGGCATCGTCCTCAGGTAAAGCACAGCCATGGGTCCCCGTCTCCTCCCACAACAACGCCAGTTCTTGTTAAGCTCTTAAAAACCGCGGGGTATTCCAGAATAATTCGCAGACTCGCTCAGGTTGGAAAACACCTTAAAGATCAACGAGTCCAACCCCGTCCTTACCATAGCACCCGAGCTCTTACAACCCTCTGCTAAACCACGTCCCCGAGCACCTCATCTAAACGGTTTTCAAGCACATCCAGGGATGTTGACTCAACCTGGTGTATTCTATTTATAATCAGCTAATTCACTTGAGTTCTGTAACAGTACGTACTTGGAAGCCCCTCTGTGACGATCAGTTGTACAGCTCCTTTCCAGACATCAGCACGAGACCAACTGCTGCCAATGAGCGGCACGGCCACGCGCCTCCTGCAGCCTGCGAGGCACGGCTCGGCTGCGTGGCTGAGCAGCAGCTCCACGCGCTGTGCGAGGCCCCCGAGACTTGTGCTGGGCATCGAAACCAGCTGCGATGACACGGGCGCGGCGGTGCTGGACGAGGCGGGCAGGGTGCTGGGAGAAGCGCTGCAGAGCCAAAAGGAGGTGCACCTGAAGTAAGTGCATACAGCTCATAGCATCCTTCTTATACAGCCGTGGTTGTGGCTGCAGGTGCTTGGTAGTCTCGCCACTGTTATCTGTGATAGCTTCAGTATGAAAGCGTCTCAGGAAAATTGATGTGAAGAGGGTATCACACAATCACAAAAGTCCTCTAAATCCAGCCATCAGCCCATCCCCACTGTGCTCACTAACCCTGTCCCTCAGTGCCACATCCACCCTTTCCACGAACACCTCCAGGGACAGTGACCCCACCACCTCCCTGCACAGCCTGTGCTCCTCACCACTCCTGCGAAGAAGCATTTCCTAATATCCAATCTGAGCCACCCCTGAGCCACCCTTGGCACAACTTAAGGCCATTATCTCTCATACAAAGACCGTCTTTCTTTGTCTCCAGCTCACTCTGCAAGGCTGTGGAAAGAAATGCTGTGCATTTATTTTCATCTTCTTGTGCTAATTTCTTTCCACAAAAGTACACAAATTCTTCATCGATTTTGGTTAAACACTACAGTGGCACTACTAAAACCACAAAATATTTTCAGTTAGGTGAAAATTAATCAGACTTAGGCATTGTTTGATAAGTACATCAACTGGAAAGTGGAAGGCTGTGTTCAGTTTCAGCCATTGCTTTGGAATGGCATAGAGGTAGTTTTAAGAGTAGCAGCAGATTTAAGAGGAATGCATGCCAAGGAAGGGAAATTAGGATTCTTTCCTTATGTCCCAGTGATAATTATGCTCCATTCAGTACACAGATATAGTTTGTGTCATTTAGACTAAACAAGGCATTTGAAAACATACTAAAAAAAAAAAAAAAGGGCTGGGTGGGGCACATTTACAAGATGTTGAAAAAGCTATTGTTGTGATTGTGTTATGAAACGCTCATATATTACAATTACTTGTTTCTAACTAGAGCAGGTGGAATAATTCCTCATGTAGCACAACAGCTTCACAGAGAAAACATCCAGCAAGTAGTAAAGGAAGCGCTTAGTGCCAGCGGAGTTTCTGTAGATGAACTTGCTGCTATTGCAACTACAGTGAAACCAGGACTTGCGCTGAGCCTGGAGGTGGGACTGCAGTACAGCTTACAGCTGGTGGACAGGTACCAGAAGCCTTTCATACCCATTCATCACATGGAGGCTCACGCACTTACCATCAGACTGACAGAGCAAGTGGAATTTCCCTTCTTAGTTCTTTTACTCTCCGGAGGTCACTGCATCTTGGCAGTAGCACGAGGAGTTTCAGATTTCCTTCTGCTTGGACAGACCATAGATATAGCACCAGGTGACATGCTGGATAAGGTAATATTTCAACGCACATGTGAATCTACTTGTTGTCCTTCTATTGCAGTTAAGCTACTTAAGCATAGTCTTAGCATTAGCCTGAGTACAGCAGTATAACGTGACAGGAGCTTTACATTATGTTTTCTTTTGTCTGTTTTGAAATACCATAAATTTAAGATGCAAGAGGCTATTAGACATCTATGCACTTTGGTAGTACCAGTACTAACTAGCTTATTAATTGTATTTTTAGCAAATAGATAACATAACCAAAGCTGGTAATGGAAGGTTTGATGAGAACCATTATACAAATGAGTTGTATTAACTTGATAAGATCAATAGTAGTATTTCAAAGGATACTGCCAAACCTAAAACAATACACATTAAAACATTTGTTACTAGTTGTTTTGTTGTTATTTGTTCTTTTAATAGTTTGAAAAGCCCGATTTGGCTTTGACAGTCTGTACTGCTTGGGTTATAAGTGCATTCTATGAAATCAGGCACTTCCAATTTTGTTTTCCGACAAGCATATTTTTTAAACAAATTATATTTGTGCTCATGCATTGAAAGAGGAGGGCTGGAATGGGAAACGGCTCAAAGTTGAAAACAACTTCGCTCTCCTTTACCTAGTAATACAGTATGAGAGTCTGAGGTCTAATCAACATTTCCTGCAAAATCTGCTGGTCCTGCTTCTCAACTTGTTCTGGAATTGCATTTCTCATTGCTGTAGCAAAAAAAAACAACAAAAAAAACTGTACGCTGATTGCATAAAACGATGCAGAGAACTACATTAAGTCCTCCTGTAACTATTTTCTCTATTTTCTCCTTAGGTAGCAAGAAGGCTCTCTTTAATAAAGCACCCAGAGTGCCACGGCATGGCTGGGGGGAAGGCAATCGAGCACCTAGCTCAAACTGGAGACTGGCAAAGGTACACATTCAGACTTCCCATGCAGCAGTATCGTAACTGTCATTTTTCTTTTTCTGGACTTCAGAGCCTTGTCAACAAATCCATTATTCAGAAAGAAAAAGAAGAAGGTATTTTTAAAGTCAGATACGACCCATGTACTTCATGAGCTATACACAGGAAAACCCATCTAATCATACATTTTTGTAGGTATTCAAGAGGGTGAACTCCTGTCCTGCGTTAAGGACATTGCTGCAGCTGTACAGCATGTAGTGGCTGCTCATATTATCCAGCGGACACACCGAGCCATGCTTTTCTGCTTAAAAAATAGCATTTTACTACCAAAAACTGCAACTCTGGTGGGTACACATCATTTTTGTATCATTTTGCACGTTGCTTTTCATATTTAAATGCAATGTCATTCAGGATGCAGATTTCCCTGTACTATTCCCTGTGACAGAACTAATCATACTGACAGATAACACAGATGTCAGTATGTATTAAACTTAGCTAGAATACAAGGATTAAAGTAATATTAATTTCAGGTATTTATATGACATCTTTCATAGTTAGGGTTTAAGCTAGAAGGGGATTTTCACACCAACTAACCTGACCTTTTCTAACAGCTCATGTCAGACAGTTTGATCTAGGGCAGCCCAGTCCTTCATAGCTGTTCTATTTATACCATGCTTTCACTCAGGAATAGTTTTTAGCCATAATACACTCACATTCTTTTCTGATAGGTTTCAGTCTTCAAAAATGGCTTTAGCTTGAAAAACTTTTTTTTTTTTTATTGCAGTCTTCAAAACTTTACCTGATGTATTTGTTTTTTAGATAGGATGCTAATTTAGTTTCACCTAGGAGGTCTTTCTTTTGAGTTAATACCATTTTTCTTTTTTTTCCCCTACTTAAAACTGCTGTTAGGTCGTATCAGGAGGGGTTGCAAGTAATCAGTATATCAGAAAAGGCCTGCAAACTCTGGCAAGTGCAAATGGTTTTGCTTTTCTGTCTCCTCCTCCAAGACTGTGCACTGATAACGGTGTTATGATTGCGTGGTAAGGGCTGGTTTTCTTTGTGTGTTTCTGTAACATTCTTTAAAATAATCAGCATCAGGCATTTCTGTATATGGTAACTAAACCATATATTTATATATTCAGAGAGTTATGACATTGTACATAATTGCTTTCTTGCTTAGGAATGGCATTGAAAGGTTGCACGCAGGATGTGGTGTTTTGTACAGTACTGATGGCATCCGCTATGAACCAAAGTAAGTGACTCAGTTCATTCAGTCTTTCTCTTCATTAATTCACTGTACTCAGTGAAAGTGGAAGCACAGACTACCACAAAGTGACGAGGAATGTCTCTAGAGGGCATATAAGCTTTAAAAGTTACCATCACTTCCTTTTCTATGTAGTTGTTAAGTACATGTCATCCTCTTCCAGTACTCAAGGGAAGCTTATTAATAGGAGGGAGAGCAGCTTTTTACATGATCTGCTAGGGATGGGATAAGGGGGAATAGCTTTAAACTAAAGGAGGTAGAATTTAGATTAGATGTTAGGTGAAAATTCTTTACTCAAAGAGGTGGTGAGTCACTGGACTAGTTCCCACAGAGGCTGTGAATGCCCCATCTCTGGAGGTGTTCGAGGCCAGATCGGACTGGGCCCTGGGCAGCCTGATCTGGTGCTCAATTTAGTGGTTGGCAATCCTGCTCACAGCAGAGGGTTGGAACTGGATGCTCTTTGAGGTCCCTTCCAACACAAACCATTCAATGATTCTATTATCTTCAGCATTTAAGTTTGAGTCAGAGATTTGAATCACCATGCATCATAAAGTTTTATGTATTTACTGTTACTGTGGTAGCGTGGAAAGCAGGAGCAAGCTAAATAGTATGCTCTCCCTAGCTTCTTAGTTGTTGCAGTCATAAACCTAAATGCTCTGAGTCAAACTGTGTTTTCATAATCATAGAATGGTTTGGATTGGAAGAGACCTTTAAGATCATCTGGTTCCAACCCCCTGCAGTAGGCAAGGGCAGCTCCCTCTGGACCAGGTTGCTCACAGCCCCATCCAGTCTGGCCTTGAATGCTTTGAGGGAGGGAGCATCCACAGCCTCTCTGGGCAATCTGTTCCTGTGTTTCATCACTTTCACAGTGAAAAAAGTCTTCCTAATGGCTGGTCTAAATCTACCCTCTTTCAGTTTAAAGCCAACTCTTCCTGTCACATCTCCCTTATAAGAAGTCCCTCCCCAGCATTCCTGTAGGCCCCCTTCAGGTACTGGAAGGCTGCTGTAAGGTCTTCCCAGAGCCTTCTCCAGGCTGAAGAGGCCCAGGGGGACAGCCCTCTGATCATCAGATGATTTTACATTAACAATTCACGTGTGACATAATTTTTTAATAGCCTGTTAAATATGGCTTGTTTTCGGGATTCAAGTAGACCCTGGGCTTAGGACTGACCAAAACTCCAGGAATTGTTTTGAGTTGTCAGTATGTTACAAGTACCAGCTGGTCTTAAACTCTTCAGTTGTTATCCAGTTTGTGCCTTTGCCAGGGCCATGAAAACACACAATTGGAGGGTTTCAGGATGGAAGTTTTACCATTTTCACATAAGAAATGGTAAAATATTGTTTTCAAAAAAGAATGCTTTTATATATATATAAAATATAACTCAATGAATAAAATACAAAGTTATCTTTGCTGTAACTATGTATACCATGCAATTATCAGAGAAAAATACCTGTCAATCTCTAATGCGTCTTGCGTTCATTACTGGAATGTACAATTACTTATCGGCTTAAATCAGAACCTGAAAATAACATCCCCAAAAGATAGCTGTGAAGTCACAGACCTTCGTGAGTTAGGAACAGCTGAAAATGTAGACAACTCCCCATTCTAGAGATGTTTTTGGGCACAGGCTCAGAGCATTTTCACAGTCTTACGAGTGAGGAATTTGTGAAAATGCTGCCCAATCCTCAGCATTTGGGAATTGGGCAGCATTTACTAAACATACTATTGGGAATTTCCCAATTTGATGGTACACAAGGTCTGTGAATCTGCACATCTGAGTACAGGGTACAGTCATCCTACCACAGCAATAGCACTACTTACCTTTTAACATACAGGTCACTTGATTTTCTAGAGCTCCCCTTGGAATTGATATTTCAAGAAGAGTTGAAGAGGATTCCATCAAAGTGCCAAGACTAAAGAAGATACAATGGTCAGCATGTTAAGCACATGAGTAATACAAGAAATGCAGCTAAAACTTGTTCACTGCAACAGCATTGAGACAGTTTTCATGTACTGACTTTGTGTGGCTTACAAGTGTTGAAATAACCCCACCAGAGAAATAAAAACATCTCCACGTGGTAGCTGTGCCAATACCACTGAGTTTCAACAGCACCTACTTTTCTCTGCTAGTGAAAGAAGATGATTCCTACTCACTAGAATTAAGATCTGGGGTTAAATCACTAGCACTAATTAATTAATTTATTTTTTTAAAGTAAAAAGAATAACAGTTTAATGTAGGTAAGAGGACTATGTATACCATACAATTATCAGAGATACACAAAACGAGCTGTTAAGATGCAAACTCTGGGTTTTGATGCTCATGTGTTATTTCACCTTGCCTTTTGACAATCTGTGCTAGATGATTTCATTACTCATCGCATAGGTTTTAACTGGAATAAATACAGCACTAAGCCTGTTTATATATAAACCAATTTTATAAAAACAGCTCTTGAATAGAAGCTTCCTTTCTATACATGTTCTTCAGAGTGCATTAATATTTAACTTACATAAAGCACCTGTGTAAGTACAGTATGCAGTACCACAATGAGGCTGCCATGTTTGTCTGTCTTGTTGAAATTCATTGACAAAATTCTGGTTTATTTTTCCATCTCTGCTGAAGTTATTCATTAGGTGGGTAACTGCTTTGTTCCTGTATACTACTTACAGCAGATCGTGAGCAGTCTGGAATCTCCACTCAGTGGCTGGGGCTGTACAAACATAGAAGAAATACAGTTCTTACGCTTACTTAAAATGTATTTTCTTAGCAAGTAACCATTTCATCAAAAAAAAAAAAAAAGTATTATTTCAGTTCACAGAAGTATTTGTCACTTTAGCAACAAGATTCAAAAAACAGATAAAATTAAGATTGACAAAGAGATGTACACAGAGTTGATGAAAGTATAATCCAGAGAAGAGACAGAAAGCATCCACAGAAGTCAGAACAAATGCAAGAAAACAGGCCTCCAATACTAGCTGATAAGAAAAAGCAGAAGTCTTTATTATAATGGTAATTCAGCATCACTTGCTCAGAACCACATCTCTCCAGGAGGTGGAGTAACAGCTGTAGATACTGCTTCAACCCAGTGTTACCTTGTAAAACCTTAATTGTCTTTTTGCATCAGAGCAAGTCTTAGTTTTTTTATTTTACTTCTTCATACAATGGATACTTAACTACTGAATAATTCCATCAACCTGTATGGTGATGACGTCAAGTGCTTTCTTGAATCTCTCCACAAGCAGACCAATGGAAAAGGCTGTATGGGCAACCAGCACACCAGGAATTCTGTATCACAATACCCTATAAAGTAAATACCTTTCTGAAAGCTATTTCTGGTAGTGTGTAGATTATCTTCTTGAACTTGGGGCCTAGAAGCCATTCATCTGTTGTGGCTGGACCATAACAGCAGTTATGCCTTTGGAGTCTTCTGCAAACATACTAGACCGCTAGCTACTTTTTTTAATTTCAGAAGACATCTAAAACCAGATGAACCAAATGTAGTTGTGCTCTAGGCCACTTAAGAGACATTTTTGCTAATCAAGTAACAGATTCATGTAGATATTCAAGAAATATTAATTTTAATGTCTGCAACTTTATATAATATTCATTTTATAATGTTAAGTTATTGCTCCTCAACTGAAATTGTTACTTTTTAAATTATTTGGAGGCTGAATTGTAAGACCATCAGAATAAACAAAACTCTTCCTCTTATAATACATCCTGCAAATCACTGTTCCAATTAAAAGTGAAGGCTGATGCATGCTTAACTACAGCCTGGATGTTATAGTAAGGGACAGTTACTCTTAATCACAAATTAATTTCTCACATTTACAAGGAATAAGTAGTATCTTTTTTATTGCAAATGTGTGCCTGCATTCAAGTACATGCACTACCACATCACTATTTCTAGTATAGAAGATGCATCTCACATTGGAAGAAATAGAGAATGAACATGATTTGCTGGCAATTGCACAAGCCTTAGCCATGTTTTGGGAACAGAAATTGAAGCTGAAGAACGATAGACATACTAAAAACAACAGAACATACGGAAACGGTGAGTCCAGCCATCTATTCTTTCACAATAGAGGTAAGGACAGTGAGTGGAACAAGTTCCTCCATCACTGGCTGTTAGGCAGTAATGGCTAGTAATGCTCTGCACACAGTTCATCATCTCAAATAAGCTCATAGGCCAGCTGACCTGCAGATACCTTGCAGCCCTGCACTGCTAGCATGTACACAAACAGGAATGCCTTGTCTTCACCCCATGCTAACCTTCAGGATATCATTACAATACATGGAACATAATCAGTTTATGTCACCTCATGAGTCATTCTGCTTTTTAAGCTAAACAAATTAAGTAAACACAAAATCCATCATTAAGTTTTATCTTTGTTAAATGTTTGAATTGTACAGTTGTTAATGCAACAATCAAGTTGTTGTCTTTGCGTATGCGTGCCTCACACTTCCACTACATACTGAGTCCCGATGAAAATTAGTCCAACTTTCATACCCATGTATGCTGACAAGTGCTGTGCTATTTGACATCTACACAGCTGAAAGGTTTAGCCAGCAAATTCCACCAGCCATCGTCTCTCAAAAGTCCAGTGGGTTTCTTAACCTTAGAAGGGCATACCTGAATCCACCAGTGCTTGTAGCGATGCTGTCAGGGAACGTCTTGTTTTTCAGCTGGCCCAGAAGTTCAGTGGGAAGTTCTGTGAGGTAGCAGTTTGTCTCTGCTTAAAGCCAGCCAACTAGGGGACGTGGTGAAGTTGTGCTGCTTGCTGTTGTCACAGCAAAGGCACGAGCGTTTTCCTGCACTGCCACGTTTGACCACTAGGTTGCCTCATCAGCTCATTCAGCTCCACGTAACACTTCTGTCAGGCCTGAGTATCCCTCAAGAATATTCTGCAGTATTTAAAATGCAATATTTCAAGATGCTATTAACAACAAGAACAGAATATTATTTAACCAAAAAGTTACAGCACTATTTGCAAGTAACCACTACATTTCCTAAGGACAAGATAAAAACACAAGCATTACTGCAGAATCCTCGTCCTTTTTCTCTTACAGAAACAAACATTTGGCCAAGAAACTGCAAATCATAGTGATAACCATACTTTAAGGAATAATGATGAATTTATTGTTTGTAAGTAATAGGTTAAACTGAAAGCAAAAATGCTAAAACTAAATTGCATGGTGTGAAGTAATAGCACAACAGTGACAGCAGAGCAGCAAGATCCCAGGCTGCAGAGAGAGGATTTGCTCAAACCAACAGCAACACACAAAGAAATAAGGGAAAGAAGCTGCTTACCTTCAGAAGGTCTCAGGTATGCACGGACCTCCAGCAAGATGGCATCACCTCCACTGCCAGCCCTTAAATGAGCTCTGGGAAGGGGTGGATCCTGGCCCCGCTCTTCCTTTCACTCAGATACATTGCATGCACCTGAGCTCCCCGAGTCGGCCCTGCCTTCCCACCAGATGCTCCATCACTGTTTCAGGTCATGGCTTGACAACTACACATAGTTTCCTAAGGCTAATACCTGAAAAACCAAAAGGTTAAGTGTGATGCATGGGGGCAGGACCCAGGACCCTCAGCTCTCAGTGGCTCTAGCAATCCAGGTCAGCTCTACGCCGCATTCTGCCTTCTAAAACCATAACCTGACAGACTGGAGGATTCAGTAGGCACTTAGCTGAGAAAGGTGGAGAGGAAATACCAATCTCTGGCTATCCTCTGCTCCACAGAGACCAGCATTCCCTTCTCCCCTAAGGATGCATTCATAATGTGTCTACGACAAGTATGTACTACGTGTATTGTTCTGTTGACTGTAATAATGCCCAAATGTGCAAAACAAACAAAGCCAAACTTTTTAAAAAAATCCCAAAGATTTACTGAATTTACAAATAGGATAAATAATATCTTCAGATATAGCTTTATAATTCATCTACTAAAATAACTTCAGTCTGCTGCATGTGTGGTGTGCTTTTTCATTGTTGCTCTCCAGTTTTGCAATCCGAGATCCAAACTGTACAGCCCTTTTTGGCAGAATGCTTGAAGCTTTAAGGCCAAGTTGCACGGCTCCAAGGCGCAGAATCAGCTTCTCACCAATTCCTCGAGGTAAAGTCAAGTCTGCTTTTTCTGAGATGGGCAGTGAGTTGAGGAACGAAACGACATCTTCATCAATAAAGGGAAACCTGAAGACATGGGGAAAACAGATTGTGCATTAAACATCAGTGACATGGTACTGAGGGAAGTCTCCCAAGCAACTATATTGTCTAGGAAGGTAGGTGAAAGATACAAGTAAACTCAGAAGCCCAGAAGTTTTCAAATTTTGAAGTAACACCCCAAGATAACTTTAAAGCATTAAAAAAAAAAAAAATGCTGTATAAAGCCACATCATAATTTAGAAACAAAATTGTCTACAAGAAAGATCTTAAAGATCTTCACAACCATCTGAATGCCAGGCATTTATATCGATTCACAAGCACAATTAACACCTACCTGCCACTGCAAACACTTCCTGCTAAAATGAAAATGTGTGATTAAGAACATGCCTGGAAAGACACCACTGGGCACCAAAACCTTTCATGCTCTTGAGCAGCCTCGGCTGTTAAGAGTACAACTAAAGGGATTTTTTTTGCAAGTCAGTGAACAGTAGTGTGGAGGAGGTAAACTCAAAAAACCCAATTCTTTAAGTATTCTGACTTAATGACATGGAAATGCATGGGATGTCTATCTTGCTTTTATCGCATGGACAGGAATATGCAGCCTTGATGCTGGTGCATCACAGCCTCTCTCTCTGTGTTAGGAAGCTGTCATTCTCCAGAGCCACTCCTTAAGTTACCTCAGCAGAACACTACAAAGCTGAGAAGACTGCTGCACTTAAAATGATAAAACCCACTTGATTTTGCTTTCTCCAACATCTGTTGCTGCTTCTTAAAACATCCAGATGGAAATCCAATGTTCATGTTGCTAGATTTCCTTAAGTAACTCTGCCATGGCATTACAGATTACCTTTTTTCCCCCCCTCAGAGAGTGCATCCTAATACAAATGGAACAGAATTTGGAGACAAAAAAACATGCAAACAAGTTTTAAATAAAGCTTTTTCTCAGACTAATAAAACTAGAGCCTTACCAGTAAAACCAGCTCTGTTTCACGTTACTATTACCTGGCTTCTTTTCCATGATCACCAATAATCCTGTCATCTCTACCAAGATTCCTAGAAGAAATGCGACCTAACTCCATTTCAAGCTCCTTATTCAGACCTTCTAGGCCACATTTTCTGAAGCAAACGCGATGCCGGGAATACCCAGCAAGCTGTTCATCTGCTCCAATTCCTGTAAGCACCACCTAAGGAAAAAGAGCAAAAGAAATCTTCGTTAATACCGAGGGAGGCCAATAGTACATAATGGATCTTAGAACTACACACGTGAAAACAACATACAAGAAGGAAAGAAATATTCTTTGTAGCTTGAACAGTCAGACTATAATTACAAAAGATTGCAAGCAGTCATCTTGTCTGTCATAACTGATAGCTACTTTGTCACAAAAATCGTCACATTAATCCTGAGGAACACACTGAGTTTATGGATTTGTTCACTTGGATTAATAGCACTTGCCTACTACTGAGTTAAGGCACTGACTTTTCTCCTAGTCACTACTGCTTAGTCAAGCTTACAGAAAAGCCATTCACAGAATCAAGGAACTGAATGCAGGCTTTAATTCCAGAATTACTAAAAGATTATTGGTATTGTATTCTGCCACTGAATTTCAGAAGCCTTGTGAATATTAAAGAGCCCAGCTAGTTTCTGAAACATTCACAAATTAAGTGTAAGAAAGAAAACAAAAGACTATAAGAAACAATCAGTACCTTTGCAGGACTTCTGTATGGTTTCATTTCTCCTTGCTTACGAATATAGCCCTCTCCTCTGGAAGCAAACCAGATTGCACAGCCAATGCTGTCATCCAAAACTGTATCCAGAGGATAAATCAAGTGATTTATGAATCGTTGTCTCATTTCTTGCAATTCCTTTAGTGTGACATTAATTTCCACAAAGTTCCAGGTTCTTGAAGGGTTAAGGGCTTCTAATTCTTTCAGTCCCGCCCTACCAGTAATTCTGTCAGGAACATCAAAGCAAGATACACGATCACCAGTTTTAGCATCAAGATCTTCCTGATTTTCTTGAACACGACGCAAATCAAGCTGCATTTCCTGGCCGATACAGTTTTTAGGGGTACCTGTTTGCTTAGTTTGTTCTTTTGGCATGAAAGCTACGTTGAGAAGATCAATTGGTTCCTCCAAGGGAACATGTCGATCAGCAAGGGCTGCAATAACCATAGAATCAACGCCACCAGAAAAGAGCACTGCAACATGAGCCTTCCCAGGAAAGACACCCTCAACTTCTCTTGTTCTCTGATCTTCACCTCTAACTAGTAATAAAACTCGTCTCCTTACTGCCTCATCTAAAACATCAATGAACTGATGGACTAGTTTTCTCTTGTGCTCCTCTGCAAGATATCCCTGAAGAGTTTCTATGGAAACCACGTGGCTCGCGTTGCTACTATCAGTGGTTGCACACTCAGCTGAGGCTTCAGAAATGGTTCTGTTGAAGGGCGTTACTGGTGTGCTGAGACACAGTTTTGACTCATTCATCACAACAGTGATGTGATCTGGTAAGTCTTTTGAAACTTGATCCGGAATATCAATGAATATTTCTTCTTCAATTTTCTCTGTGCAACTGTACTTCCATGGAAACAACGTTAAAGACAATGATTTAGTTGTCACACAGCCCTTGAGATCAATTTTGAAAATTCCAGATGCTGGGACTTCTTGACATCGGTTGCAAGATTCCAAATTCACACTTACAGATGTGAGACAGAAAACACTATCACTCACATCACTGAACTGCCAAAGCAAACTACGACGACCAAAATAATCTCTACCAAACCATAAGCTGTGTCCAGATGCTTGATAATAAATGAAAGACCACGGACCCCGAAGTGATGAGAAGAGTGATAAGAAGTCAGCGTCACTACTGCATAGTGCAAGATGACGAAACATAACTTCAGTGTCATTCTCTGAATCTCCCACGTGCACTCCATTAAAAATTTCTCCATTCCAAAGCAAAATATTGTTACTGACATCTCCCAGAGGCTGAGGAGTCATCAGTCCCCTCAGGTGAAGCACATGGCCAGAAAAAAGACACTCGTAGGATGGCTCGGACACAGTCTTTATCAACTGTTGGCTGCTGTCTGGTCCTCTTCTTCTAAGACGGCAGTACAGATCCTCACTGAAGGCATCACAAATGGTATGCTGACTAGACAAGGCAACAACACAACAAATACCGCACATGGTGACTTGAAATTCAGATGGACTATTTCTTGACTTTAGTCTTCTCTGAATTTTCCAACTCTTGATGTGCTTTCTTTAATTGATCTAATGTATCTGTGTGATGAAAATACCAGAGTAAACAGTAAATGAGTTCATACCTAAGAAATGAGTGTCAGCTGTACAATTAAAGACAGGAAAACAAAAGTAAGAAACGTGTTACAGTATTCATCTGTCACAACCATACCTCACTGCAGCTTATTTGTCTTCAATAATACAAACATCTTTTTCCCCTCAAGGAAATCCATACTACAAGTTTAATAATGTAAAGAAAAAGCCAATCATCGCCTACATAATCAATATGATTTACACATTTGTAGTAAGAAAAGTGAATACACACCATGTCAACATGGTAAACTCCAACCAAAAAAGATATTGACAACTGTTCAGTCCAGGAAGTAATTTAATACTTTTGAATTGATTTCTAACACCTTTGTTCAATTATCACATCTCTATCTTCCATTCCCTTATCTTGATAATCCCAAAACTCATTGTCTCAAGCACCTGAAGACCTCTAGACTTCTAGCTTTACTTCTAGCTCCATACTCATATTTTGTGCTCATCCCATGAAATTTTAAGGGTTAACAATTAAAAAAAAAGGAGGAGAACTGAGCATGTACAGCTTCCCAAAGGGTGCTGAGAATAGTGATTTCTCTGTGGGAGGACCCCCTCCTGTATCTTCAGCTCTTGCTGTTTTTACCACTCATACAAATCAAGCTGAAACCGCATTTACCCAACCCAGAAAAGCAGGCACATCTCAAGTCCACTTGGTATCTAACATGCAGTTGCCAGCTCTTCCATTTGACTACAACTTTGAAATCCTTAACAGCTACAGAGAAAGCTTTTAAACAGTTCAACTATTACCTTTTGCACTGCAAACTTACTTTTGCACTGAGACAGTGTTTCTGTTCGGTCTACAAGGAAGAATATGTTGCTATTGGGTTGCTGCCTATAAACTTTCTGTAAAACAAAAACAATGCTGCATTAAGTAAAAATAACACAGGCTGCAACCACACTGCAGCACAAATCCATGTAAGACCACTGAGATACCCTTCCTTTTCATGTCAGAAGGCTACTTTCTACTCTGCCATGAGCAACATCCTCATGTTGCACCAAAACATTTTAGGATTGACCCACAACCATTCTGCATTTTCCCTTCCCTCATAGTTGGGCGATCATATGTTACATCATACACACAAGAAAATTAGGAAGATTTTAACATAATCTGACCTACTCAAACATTGTCATGCAAAAATTCAGCTAGAACAAATAAAACCTTCTGACACCACACTGTGTTACACTGCACAAGTCTAAATACACCCTCAAGTGGTGTGGAGAACAAAACATTTTGGTACTAGGCCACATCTGCATTCAACTCTTTAGCACGACAATTGAAGATAACATATTTACATATGATTTTTTGGCCCCCTTGCCTCTATACAAATACATCTGATGCTAAAATGAAGTAGCCAAAAGAAATTTCATAATTACTTACCCTGTTCTTCTTCAAATTAGAAAGCTCATCAACCACAACCTTCTGTTCTTTAATCTGAAAGACAAAAGACACGTATCAATGTAATTATTAACAACAAACCATTGTGTTGCAATCCTGAAGATGAAAACCTTCACCCATATTTTAAAGACAGCTAGAAGAATCTATGTCACTGTTCCACGAACAGACCTCTAAAGTGAAAGTGGACATAAAAATGAAAAAGGTATTTGATTAGCCATTATTCCAAGCACACTACAACTCTTCAGACTACATAACTGAATTACAGTTAGCATGCTTCTTTTGAAAGTTACCAAGTCAACAACAAGCCAATGAAGCAGTCTAAGTAACTGCTTTAGAAGGGGGTTATCTAGCATGGGTTGGCATTGCTCCCATCCCCCAAAAGCAGTCATTACTGAGAAGCCAGAGTACCCCTAGCTGTTTAGAATCTGAGATTACTTCCCTCCCAACCTTCTCAGAAGGAACCAAGCAAACATGTAAATAACTATTAACAAAAACATCAAGCACTTTGGGAAACAGAATTTACCTCTACAATACACTTTATAATCTGATATTCTCCAGCTTCAAAACTAAAACAGTAACAGAAACAAACAAAAACCCCCCACAAAAACAAAAATCCAGCAACAAAAAAGAACAACAACAACAAAAAAAAACAAAAACCAACACCCTAAGAGAATTGTAAACAACTGCACCACACTGGAGTTTCAGCACAAAGTTCTTATGCTGGATCTACCACCATCAGTTCAGCTGCATTGACAGAGGCAGCCCGGTGCTCGTGTTTTCCTGGACAACAGCCACCAACGACAAAGAGCAAGCAAGAGCCCTCCAAAAAAGCTGAAACTGAGCAGAAGTGGTTCAGCGCTCACTGCTATCTGTAAGCACCAATCACACAGCTCGCTCCGCTCCTTTCTGCCTCCGGGAACTGGCGCAGCTACAAGTAACAACTACAAGGCCGGATTAGTCAAAATGAACGGAGCACACAGAAAAGGCTGCTCCACCAGCAGCTACACGAGCACACAATATTTGTTACTGCGAAAAGGGCAGTTTGCTAGTAGGGCTCACAGGCACCAGGCTCCTCCAAGACAGAGGCTCCCAGCCGAGGCACAACGCAGCCTCAGGCAGGCCCTCCTCTCCTCCACACTAGCCCACAGGCTGTGCTTTACCCTCCCTTCCGAGCCGCGAGAAGCCCCAAAACAACGCCTAGGGCTACTCCGAGCTCACCCTCCGACTCAGCTCCTCCTTATGGCGCAGCTCGGCGCCCTCCTCCTCCTCCTCCCGTCGCGACATAACCCCGCTTCCCTGGCCGGACCGCGGCACGCCACCACACGCACAATGCCTGCGCCTCCCGGCGCGCAGCTTCCTGCTGCTACAGCGCATGCGCCACCAATGTAGCCGCAGCGGGTGCGCATGCGCGGTGGGGAGCAGCCGGTAGCGTGTCGCGCGCCGCAGCCGTTTGGCGCGTGCGGCTGAGGTGGAGCTGCTGTCGCTGCGGCTGTGAGGGCGGAGCGGGCGGCTTCTCCCGGTGCTGGCTGCTGTCCGGTCGGATCTCTGGCAGCGTCCTGGCACAAAGAAGGACTTGGTGCTAGTCCCGTGCTTGTTGCTATCCTCCATCTGTTCTGTGGGGGCTTAGGAGAATATTTGCAATGAGAGCTGAAAAATGGTTTTCCGCCAAGTAACAAAACAGAAAATGAAGTGCTTCCCTATGAAATAGTGCAGTGCTGGCCCTGCAGTGGAACTGGGTGGCAGAATTTAGTTGATCTGCATGGTGATTGCAAAACAAGCCAGGTTTTGGAATCTTCATTACATGACATGTTACAGAAACCAAAGATGCGGAGTGAATGCTTTCTCGTTCTGTGCTGTCTTTGAAACTGTGTTGGTGCGTTGGTTTATGGTGCAAGTTAGACATTGGAGAAGTAGCAGAGTGTCTTCTTGAAGCTGGCTTGGAAGCAGAACCAGTGAGTTAAGACCACCCAGCCTGAGTGTTGGCATCATGAGTAGAACAGAGAAGTACCTCATGTCAGCAGTGAGAGAAGCAGGCTGCTGCAAAGCCACTGACTGGAATGGCGTGGAGAGCATACAGGGCATCGCCCCACTTCCTATCTCTTCGTGCTGAAGTGAAATTGGTAAGTGTACAGTAAGAGTCTGAGGCACTACGATAGGTAGTAGCAGATAGGGGTGTAAGAGATCTCTGGTACAGGCGGTGCCATGTGGATGATGTGGCAGAACTTAGGAATACGAAAATGTTTTGTGTTCATAGCAATCTTTTCTTGTTTTAATTTTTTCTGATTGTAGTCTTTGTAACCAAAAATCAGTGAGGTAAGTTCATCGTTCTGAGCATACATAAAATGAAACTGTGTAATCACTCACACTGGAGACCTTTGTCTGACCTGAGCTCATGCTTTGCTGGCAGGAAAGAGGCTCCTAAATTACTTGTTGTATGGGATCTGGTGAATCACGGCCTGAACCTCTGATTGATCACCTGAGGTGAGCCATGAGTCAGCCACAGGAGCACAGATGAGGGCAATTCACCTGTGCTGCCGGAAGGGATGGAACCTGGCTGCACTTCTCCTAGACCCTTTTAAGAGCTGACTGCCAGTGGGAAACAATTTTTTCTGGAGATCCATTTTCTGGAGTTTTGTAGTGAGCCTAGAGTGTGGATAAGCTTTCTCTTCTCTTTTTGTTATTATAACTTGCTTTGCCAAACTCTCTTGTTTATTTCACTATTATAACATCTTTATGTTCATTGACTATACGTTTGTGTTGGGGTTGCTTAAGTCTGTGGAATTGTCAGAGGTGCTGTGTTCAGTAGCTCAGGTGAACTATTCCAATTTTATGTCAGTGATGACTGGAATCCAACTCTTTGGTGTGTTGCATGTTACTATAGTATTAGACTTTATCAGGCCCCTGAGCACACTGTTCTTGCCTATTTTGGGAGTGCTAGTTCTCTATTAAGGAAAAGCTGTTTGAGAGACAGCAGCAAACTTGGAGCTCTGAGTAAAAGCTGGAAGAAGCTTTAGCAGGGCATCCTCAACTAGGTGTCCTAGGATGCCTGAATCAGGGCCTGCTCCTCTTCTTGAGAAATGTAGTTCTTGTTGCTTTTCAGCAGAGCCTCTTGTGTTTGCCTTTCACCTGAGCCCCTGTTGTAGTTGTGGGGCTGTGTAGGCAGGATGTGCATTTGGACCTGGACCCTGACCCACTGACTTGTTTCCCAGTTGCCCCCCCACTCACCTTGTTATTGGGACTTGCAGGCCCTGGTTACTCTGTCCAGACTTGACCCTGACTTGTTGATGACTTACCTTCTCATTTTTACCTTGGACCTGCCTCGTCACTGTGAAGTTGTCTAGTGAATTGGCCTTTGTGTCAAACCTGGTGGCTGCTGCTGGGTCTGCCCTGCTTGCCATGCGTGTATACTGTGGGACAGCATCCTTATTGCTGAGGCCACAACCCCTGTTCACCCTTGCTACCATCCTTAGTTCCTTTTCCCTAACACCTGTGAGGTTACCTAAAGTAACATTCTAGTAAGGGCTAATAATATTAGCAAACATGTAGAGAAAAATGTCATGACAGAGACAACAAAACCCATAAAGCAGGTAGATTATGCTATACTGTATCTAGGATAAGAGAAAAACTAGACTGTAGCTCACACGCTTTTTATGAATTTCTGCAGTGTCAGTCTCAATTAGTTGCTGCTGAAGTAGATAAAAGTTTACCACAAGTTGGGCAGTCTCTTCATGCAGTCCATCTTATATTTTACCAGACTGCTGATCAGTTGACATACAACATTATTGCTTCTGAGGAGAAATACATTATCTGCCATATTTTTTATTGACAGCCAAAGTAGTTCTTGTTCACCTGTGATTCTCTTAGCACGATGAAGGGAATATGAGCAGTGAGGGAGCGATGAATCCATCTTGCTTCAGTCATCAAGCCTGATACTTAACTTCCAGTCACATAATTGTTATCATAATATCTAAGACAGAAAGAATTCAGCTTGGCTGTAGTTTTTTTAGTCTGGATACTTCTGAATGAACATTGTTTTATCAGTGATCTGATTTGAGATTTACAAGTGATGATGTAAGTTGTAGAGGACATGATGTATTTATCTTCAGTTTCTGTAACTTGTTGGCTCTGATGCTATTCTTGTTCTTTTCAATGAATTGCTGTAGGTAATCTCTTGTCGTTCCTGTTACATATAAGAGAAGTACAAGTGAGACTAGCATCATAAGGATACTTACTTGAAATACTTCAATAAGTTGGATTGCAAGTAGTTCAGCATCCTTTGACAATCTAGCAGTTACGACTTGTCGTCTAAGAAAGATCTGGAGAGGCAAAATTCAAGACAAATACTTCAGGAGGTTGATGTATTGATATCTTGCTTGCAGGAAATTGTTAACAATGTAAAAAGATGTCTATCTTTTAAATGGTGATTATTTCCTAAGATAGGTCTGAAATTAGCCTGGATTGACCAAATCTTTTTCGTTTGAATTTAATATTGAGACAGCTGAAGACATTCTTGCTTATGATAACGTAACATCTCTGCTGTAGGAAAAGCAATTGTTTATTTTACACTGAGAAGATAAAAAGGAAGAACAGATAAATGCTTCCTTGTGAGCCTCCGAGTGCACTTAAAGGTATTCCAAAGGAGACATGAATTATATCACACTTATGGATTGTAAGATTATATAATTTACTCTCTGGTTCTGTGATCTTTTTAATTCGCTCTGTCTTTTTAATTCCAGTATAGATATATTGCAGTGATGTATGTCCTCCTGTTTTTGTGATGCATCATGGAAGGAGAGAGTTGTTTAAGTGGTGGGATGAAATAGGACGAGGACAAATAATACCGTCATGATTTAATATCATAAACAAATGTAAGCTGAGAAATGAAAAAAAGAGCCAAATTGCTAAAACAAGAAGAATTTGAAAATGTTTTTTAATAGCACCTCTTTTTAAGTATCAAAATTATCAAAATCAAAATATTTAAGACAGAATTTGATTTAGTTATGAAATCAATATTAAGTTCTGATCTCGTAATTGGTTGGTGAATGAATCAGAAATGAGAAATTTTCTAATTTCCATGGAAAATAGCACATGTATTTATCAGTGTGTATTAGTGGGCATTGTTGAGGAATTTGGGTAAGAATTCAGTAAGAAGATTGAGGTGGGAATATCATAGTGTTTTTCTTTGTCTCATTTTATCCCTCTTTCTCTTTTTAAATCTTGTACATCATTTCAAAGACTCAAAAGCCACTCCAAGCTTAGCTACTTATAGCTCAGTTCCTTTAGAAATGTCATGAAATCTCACAAGTCTTTTGCTACTGACTGCACTGCAAACACAGTGCAGATCTCTGTGAATTGTCTGAAACATTTGTTACTTAATACATAGGACTATTGACTTTTGCTACTTAATAATTTGTGTCTTGTGTAATCATGTATGTTTTTAAACAACAGATGTTATAAGAACACTTTCAGCTTCTGAGCAACCTTGTTATGATGGTGTCTGTGAGCTTCATTGACGTTGACTGGAGTTTTTGGCAGAGGTAGAAGAATAAGGATTCTTGTTCCTTAGCAGAGTTATGTAAAGAGACAATTAGGTTGTAAGAAGAATTATCAGTATAGTAATTTACAATCCCAGATCTTCCTTCAAGGGAAAGAGGAGCAGGGTAGAGTTTCATAAGGAGCGAGTCCTGTTCCTCCCTCTGCTTTTAGCCCTTCTGCTGCCTCCACCCTCGCATCAGTGTAGCTCTTTGTGGGACTGTGTGGTGGTGTGAGTCCGGCCAGCCGAGCGCTTGTTCGTCTGAGCAGTCCAGAAGTGGGTTAACTGAAGAGCTGCAGAACTGTCATCTAAGGGTTGGAAGAGTTCAGGGCCTTATCCTTCCAATTCTAGAAGAAATACCCGCATCTGGATAAGAGTTGGGATGTTATTGCTTAGTGCACTTGGTAGTTTGTCACTCTTGTTCTTTGGAGCAATTCGTTTAATCTGAGCACTTCTCAGCAATCTGCCTCCTGAGTGTTTTATTTGCTACTATGTTACAAAGGTTGATGATTAAGTAACCCAGTAGTCAGAAGATGATTTCTGTAATTATGATCCTTTTACTGTTCAGTAATAAAAACGGTTAATGTTTATTAACCAGAAATCCCCCACCACGTTTCTGAGATGGTTTCATTGGTTGGTTCATGAGTGACAGTAGTGAGTTTGAGGCATTCTTAATGAATGTGCGATGTTCTGAAATCTCATCTTACTACAGACTGTGGATACGCACTCAGGGGATGTACTTTTGATGAGACAGTTGAATAAACAAGTGGACTCCTGCTATGTGGTCACTCCTGAACTCGCTCACATTCGTACCAATAGTAACAGTACATGTGTTTAAAACTGTTTTCAAGTGAAGGAAAAGGTCTTCACCTTTCCTCGTGCAAGTCTGTGTGGCTTTAAATCAACTTTGCTTCAGGGCTGCTGCAGCTCAGTTGTTTACTATGTGCTTGCACTGAAATTTTTGAGGAGGGTACTGCAGGTAGTTATTTTATCTCAACAGCAGCCTTGAGAAATAACTGAACATGAGGGTTAATTAATACTTTTCTCTTGCTCTAAGAGGTGAGGAGCCTAGAAAA